CTCTTGGAAGCTGAGAGAACAGAGGGAGGGAATGGACAACTGTGTCAAACCCTGCTGACAGGCCCAGCAAGATGAGGACTGAGAACTGACCATTGGATCTAGCAACAGGGAGCCATGGTGACCCGGACAAGGGGGGACTGGTGCAGGAGCCGGGGTGAACGTCTAAAAGACAAGGGAGAAGAGATAAAGGAAGAGAGGAATGGGAGAGGCGAACATGCACAGCTCTGTTTAAGTAGATTTACCATAAGAAGGAGCAAAAACTGGTAGAGTCAGTAACTCAAAAGACAAATAGGATCAAGAGAAGGTTGTTTTTCCCTTGATAAGATAAATGAACAAACAAAATTGAAACAGACTCATAGACGCGGAGACCAGATGGGTTCTGCCAGAGGGGAGGGCACATGGGGGACTGGGTGGAAGAGGTAAGGGGATTGAAAAGTACAAATTGGGGGTTACAGAACATTCATGGTGATGTAAAGCACAGCACAGGGTGTATACCTACGTATGGTGCCAGGTGGGTAGTGGGAATAGTAGCGGGAACACTTGCGTATAATTGTCTAATTACTACGCGATGCACCTAAACCCGATACAAAACAATACTGAAAAAATACTTTTAAAAAAAGGAAGAAATGTCAGAATCTCTGGTGATGCGAGAGAGAGGAGAGCATAGTGCCGCAATGACAGATGATTTTTAAAATTAAAAAGCAAATAAAACAAAGCAAAAATTTTACAAGTATAGCAATGTAAGAGTAGAAAAAACAGAATTAAGACAAAAAGCAGCATTAAGTGGGGTAGAAGATAAATATATATTTGATAAATGATGGAACAAACTAAGAATGTAAAGAATTCCTGAAAAGAAAACCACCTGGGTGAATTCATGGGCAAGATTGTGAAATTTTCAAGTAAAGAATCACATGTTTGCTATTAAGCTGATCCAGACAACAAAAAGAAGGAAAATATTTTAGTTCATTTGAACAAATTAGCAAAAACCAGATACCAAAACCTAACAGAGAAAGCAAAAAGAAACAAAGTAAAATCTGTTATGAAGATTGATACAAAAAGTCTAAAATCAAATGAGTAAATCAAAGCTAACACCTTATTATGGAAAAACAGATACTAAACGAACAGGATTTATTCCAGGAATACAAGGATGGCTCAATGTAGACAATATAACTATAATTAGTAATATTGTTATTTAAGTGTACAAAAACTAATTAAAATGGTCTTATTATATATTAAAAGAGCATTTAATATAAATTCAAGTAACATTCAAGATAATAGAAAACTCTTAATTTAGGCATAGAAGGGTATCACCTCAACATGATAAAGATATTCACCTGGAACCAAGAGCCAGTCAAATCCATACAGTATGATAAAACATTAGAGGGATTACTAAATATGTCCAAAACAAGAGAAAATGCTACCATTATTACTTTTCAATAGTGTCTTGGAAATTTTAGTCCATGTAATAAAACAAGAAAAAGACATTTGAAAAAGCATAACTCAACAGACTAAAAGGAAAAATTATTAAAAGTAATATTTTGAAGTTCAGTAAAATGGCAAGATGCCAAAAACATAGGAATCAACAGCTTTTCACAGACAAAACTGCGTAGATTTCTAAGTAAAAATTTTACTTTCAAAAGCAAATCCTCTCCCTGCCACCTCCCTCCCCCTGTGCAAAAAAAAAAAAAAAAAAAAAAAAAAAAGCTGGTCTTAGAACAGTGCTATCCAATAGAAAGGTAATGTGAGCCACATGTAATTTTAAATAGTGTAGTTGCCACAGTTCCTTAATAGGTGAAATTAATTGTAATATATTTTATTTAACCTAATATATGTCTAAAATATCATTTCCAGGTCTAATCAATATTTTTAAACTATCATCGAGATATTTTTATTCTTTCCTCACGCTAAGTCTTCAATAACAGTGGCGTTCGTGTACGCGTGTGTGTGAACACCGCACACCTTGACGCTGCGTGGCCTCATTTCGAGTCCTCACCAGCCACAAACGGCCAGTGGCTGTTGAACTGCACAGTGTGGCTCTCACAGACCTTGCTATGTGCCTAGGAAAACATGTGCAGGATTTACATGCTTGAAAATTCCAAAACTTCGAGAGAACTTAAAAAGCGACTTCAGTGAAAGGACAAATACACGGCAGATTGCTAGAAGGAAATCTCAATACCGTGAAGACGTCAGTTTTATCCCCCAGACTATTATATAAATTAAAAACAAGACCAATCAAAATTCCAGTAACATTCTTTCTTCTTTGGTGAAAGATTTCCTTTTACAAACGAGGGAGAGGCCGTCCCTGAAGAGCAAGGCTACCCATGGAGTGTGTGAGACATTCAGGATCCAGACGCGACCTAGTCAAGAAAGAGCAAGAGGGCCACGGTGCCCTTTAGGGTCCCCACAAGCTCCCACAGTTGTAGAGGGACTAAAACTCAAAATGATGAGTTTGGAGGCGGAAGGCAAACAGCCTTGAAGACATTTTTGTTTGAGTGTCCCACAGCAGTTATAAATCTGGACCCGGAAACTGGAAATCACTGAGGTCACATACTTCTAACATCATATTCAATTAGGTGAGAAAAGTGCCAATTCTGTCATCGTGTCATAAAAAAGTGTGCTTTTCCCTCAGATCCCTTCTGAAGAAGACTTCCCTGTCTTGTTACAGATAGGGCTGCTTTCAATCAGTTACAAGGAGCAATTCAATTACTAGACGGTTTAGTGCAGTAACTGACTCCAGACTAATTTAATTTCTTTAGGTCTCTAAAGATCAATTGATCTGATTTGTCCCATCCCCAAAGGCTGTTTAGGAAAAATTCAGACTTAAATACCTGGAAATGAAATCCAAAACCCTGGCTGATTTCACACTACTTGGGTCAAGTTGCGGACTTCCAGCTAAGACATAAGATGCTCCCTTGGCCCTCGGACCATGGGAAGCTACTTAGCATCGTGTGCATGTGCGTGGACCCTGAAATCAGGATGCTCGTTCAGTAAATGGGAAGTGTGTTGTAGGCATCGTCCAACCTGTCACTCTAAAAGGGCAGTTGGCCTGAGCACCTGTGCAGCCAAGGGGCTATTTCCTCCTGGAATAGTTTATGAAGGCTATTAGAAATAGACTTGGATGGGGCAAAAACTATGCTCATCTGCTAAGAGGAATCTGTATTTATAAGCTCCTTTCGTAAATGCCTTCTTCCTTGGTTCTCATAATAAACCAGTAGAGCGAGCAGGGTTATTTTCTCTATTTTCTAGATGAGGACAACAGACTTGAAGGTTAAATGACTTCTCCAGGGTCCCTCAGCCAGTAAGAGGCAGAGCTGGGACTCGAACCCTTGACCTTGTCTCCTAACAGAGCATGTGCACCCTCGATCTGAGAGAGAAGGAATGGTGTCCACTACGAAAGCACACCCCCACCGAGCCACTGTCTTCATTCTTGCTTGACACTTGCCTAATACCGAGAAAGCTTCACTGACTATGGTCCCTCCTGCACATGCCTAGTCTGAGTCAGAGCCTCTGGCCCTCCAGAAATAGATGAAAAAGGTCAAGCCCCTCGAGTGCTCCCTTTGTACATGGACTCATCCGGTACCTACACCGCTGATACCGCATTCCCGCTGAGCTGGGTCTCAGGCCTACTTGCCCACCTACGTCCCAGCTAACAAGAAAGTGGCCCACTTGCCTTCTCTGTTTTTGCGATGGATCTTCAACCACAAGCTCAAGTTTCTTCCCCTGATCTCAACACCCCCAACCACTCATGAAGCTTTCCAACTAAGGAATCTTTTGTCCTACTCAAATCTCACGGTTCCTGCCCAACTTTCAGCTTCTCCTGCTGGCTTCTCTGCCTCCCCACCAAGCCTCTGTATCTGCTCCCCCAAATTAAAACCACCCGCTACGCTCTGCCACGTGAGAAAGCTGAGGGAAGGATCAGGCAGGTGTTGCGAAAACATGTAATTTTCCTTTAATTTGAGTTGCCAAGACAGGTTGGGAAGACGTGACCACGGGGTAGGTAACACAGGGTATAGCCAAGTGTAGCAGTTGGTAGGAAAATAACATGAAGATTTGGAGGTAAGACCAGATGGAAGGCTGGTGCTTGGTGTCCCACCCATCAATGAAGATCTCAGGCCATATAAAAAATAAGCACAGGAGGTGAATGAGGTCTGAGGATCTAACATATAGCATGGCGATTACAGTTCATAATCCCATTGCATAACTTAAATTGGCTAATAGAGTAGAACTGAAATGTCCGCACACACCACACTAAAGAACAAGCGTAGTAAGTTACACAGTATGTATAAGAGATACAAATAATGATGTTAAAAAAACCCTTCTCTCGAAAATCACACTTTTTAACATTCCTGTCGGGCACACCATGGATCTCAACATGGTCAGTACAGAACACAGAGATGGTCTCACACTGTGTGAACCACTTGAATTAAGTTAAAAGTAGGGTAAGTTCCAGGCACATGATTGTCACTTGTCTTCTTTAAGGTCCTGAGATCTGACATCTCTCTTATTAAATAGAAGCAGCCTAAGCTATAGGTCAAATGTGTGCCTTGAATTAAATTACATCTCCTTTTATTTCAAAATTCCAAACTACCCTTGTATTCTTCATGTTAGCAAATATCTCCAGTTCAGGGGCAAAGGCTATCAAGGTTCCATTTCTCTGCAGATTGCCACTCGAGACGCAGAGGGTCATATCACCAAGAGGACTGAGTCTTTGATAACAAAGAAGCCCTATTTTTTTTTTTTTTACAGTTAAATAAATGCCCTGACCAAAGCAACCACTTCACTCAGAAACTGAGCACAGAACAGACCCGGCTGCAGCCGCTGTCAGAGCTTAAGGACTCGCCTATCTGCAGGGCTCACGGGGAGAAGGGAAGGGGCAGAGACATGGAGATTATATACAGTGAGGTTAAGGTCCTTTGGCGTTGAAAGGAGTGTGTTCTTACAAACTCGCTCTTCTCTTTATCTTATCTGGACAAAGAAAGTAAACAGAAAATTCTCATTACCTCTCAATGTCTGTAAGCCTGGAGGAGTCTCGAAATCCTTTGGCAAAAGGGTTGCTGTCTATTTTCAGCTTGGTTATCTGGAAGGGGAAGAATGCGTAACACAACAATTATCATTTCTGAGGTCCAGGAAGTAAAATCAGAAGTAAAGAGTGCGTTCATTTTCCATCCTAGCACCCCAAGAATACCCAGGTTCTCTCAGGATCGTGGGAAAGGTCGAACTTGCTGGAGAGTTCGCAGGAGGGATGGACGGGATGGGATGGGCTGCCCGAGGGAGGCCTCGGAGAGAAGCGGGTATTTGCGAACAGCCCGGAGGCCAGTGGGTAGAGACGGTCTGGGGTGGGGCCCTTTAATGAACCGCGTGGCTGCGGTGGGAAGTATTTCAGAGGGTCGCGGTACTCCAGGGCTCCCCCGGGGAGCGGGAGAGCTGTCCAGAGGGCCAGCGTCGGCAGGGAACAGGGGATAAAACCAAGAACATTGTCTCCTGCTGACTTGACGACATCATTTGTTAATACCATGGGCGCATATAGATACCATAATGGATAAAAAGACTAAATGGCCAGTAATAGTTTCACATTCAATACTATGTTGAGATATATGACATAAATATATGCTATAGAGCTTTTAGAATATAAATTTACCCCAGTACGCCCTTTCATCTTACTGAATTAGACTCAGAAAGGTTGGTCTTTTGTTATCCACCTATGCGATGTTATTTATAGATTCTATGCTTGCATGGAAAGAAATTGTTTGCTAATAAGAATCATGGTCTTAAGTATTAAGTGTCTATGCCGTGCTAGTCATGGTTCCCATAGTATTAATATTAATGTGAAAAGATCCATTAAATCACATGCACTGCATCTCCAAAGAATAACGAAATCAGTTAATGAAGCATAAATAAATAAATAAAACACTGATTAAAAGATACTTGGCTGGTAAAATTCCTGTTAGAGCTAAAAGGGACCTAGGAAAATAGACAAAAAGAACGATAGGTCCCTTTAAAGAGAGTCATAGCTCATTCTCATCCATAAGAGAATGCATGTTGATCTTTAGATGGACACATGCAAAATGGTCATAACCTGGAAAAAAAATGGTGGGTTGAGACATGTCCCTCTCTTTCAAAGTCAGGAGCACACATAATCCAAATAGTCTGAAGTGCTATTTCCTCCAATCAAGGTGTATCTACCATTCACTTTAAGCTGTTAACACCCAAAGAATTGTTTTTGTTAACACAAAAGAAAGGCATTTTGTTTCCTTTTTGAGTTTTCTTGACGCCAACCGGCGCAGACGCTGTGAAGAAGCTGTTCACCTCGCTGACAGCAGAAGTTCCCCCACCATCCTGACCCTGCATGTCCCGGCCATTAACACTGGCAAGTTCCAGGACTGACTCTTCGATAACATCAGCGTTGGGGGCGTTTGACAGCAGCTGAGAAACACTCACGTTCAGCCCGCGAACGTTCCCTCTAGAGCAGCCAAGAAAGAAATTTGCTAATTTCCTTTTCAGCTGACTTCATGGAAAATGGAAAGCAGGGAAGGAACTGAGCTAGATAAGTCAGAAACCCGTTCTTAGTGGAGAGCAACAGCCATGGAGAGGGTGCAGAAGGGAAACAGACAGAAGCTCCTACAGTGCGACCACCAGGAGCTTGTGGAGAACCTTCTCTTGCAGGCGGCCACGGAGCCCAGAAGGGTGTAAGGCTGTGTGGACCATCCTTTTGGAGTAGGATTTACTTTGGAAGGTCAGTTTTTGAGACGAAGGAGAAAAGTTTTATTTGTTTGAAATAAATTTGTAAACATCTTCTAAAACCTAAGCAACCCTGATATAACACCAACAAGGTTTTCAATTCAAAAGACAGTTGTGTCTCTTTCTACTGGATAATTAAAAGGTAAAGCACGTCATATTTCTAAAGTGCTGTATAGTTCATGAAACTGCTTTTGCCGTAATTCAGCGACAGATACTTAAGAGAGATTGATGACTTATCACGCCCTCTGGGAAACATTGGGCGGTGCAAAGATAACAGACACACTGTCCCTGCCCTAAAGGGACCCTGATTGCACTGAGTGGGCAGAGGGACACATGGCTGGCCAGAATGGAGGTGACGCGGGCTCCAGGGAAGTGGGTTGCATCACATCCCTGGGAGTGTTCCAGATGGTCTGGGTGAGCCGAACCCGGATGGAAATCTCAGACTGAAGCTGGAGGCGGAGCGATCAAGCGCAGGCTTCTTTTAAGCTCAATTACTCACCCAAGCTCATTTGTAAAGTTAAAAAGTAAATGGATTTGCCAATGAATAACATTTTCTGGAGACAATGGCAGATAATACATCTGCTGGAAAAACTAAGGACTCTGCTGTCAGAGGAAGACAAATACCAAATGATCTCACTTACATGTGGAATCTAAAGAACAAACGGAACAACCAAAATTGAAATGGACTCATAGATACAGAGAGCGAGAACTGGGGGTCGGGGGGCACTGGATGAAAGAGGTGAAGGGGATAAGAAGTACAAATCGAGAGGTACACAATAGTCACAGGAAAGTAAGTAAAGCACAGGAAATACAGTTGTTAATACCGTAATAACAGTGTGTGGTGTCCGTTGGGGGACCGGAAGTATCAAGGGGATCCCTATGTAAAGTCTACAATTGTCTACCTACTAAACTGTCCACCCAAAACCAATACATAATAGAAGAAAATTTTAAAAAATAAAGAATAGTTGGACTTTGAAAGGAGTCCTTGTATGCCATCCCTCTAAAATGTGGACCATATTAAGCTTTGTTTGAGTATTTACAAACTAAAAGGATAGGAAGTATCATCTCTCTGCTATAATTGAAAAACGGCTTTTGAGCCACTTTGTCCCTGAAAAGGATTGGGAAAACTGTGTTTGTTGCTTATAGAGTTGCCGGGGAGAATAAACGCTCTCAACACGCGTGTGGCCCATCCGGCATCACCACACGTTACTGCCTTCGAGCGAGGAAGTGAGTTTCAACACCCATTTTCAGATTTTGTTGGAATTTTCTTTCATTATGAAAATGTTCCAATTCCAATATCTTAAATACCTCCTTCATAAGTCCACAGAGCAGCAATGGTAACTTTTTTTCTTTACACTTTGATACGACTTCCAACTATAGGAAAGTTTAGACACTAGTACACGGTGCTCTCATGCACCTAACCTACCAGTTGGCTACAGCCATGATCTAACCTGAGTGCACTAGTCACAAAAGGAGCACAAGACAAAAACCAGGTATTCACTTTCCCTATGGGCCATTTATTTAATTCCAGGGAAAACAACTGCTTTTGGAAGCTGGAGGAAAAAAGCTGAATGGAGCTCTTATTACTGAAATGGTGTGGCGCCTGGATCTGAGGCAGGTTTTACGGCGCATCGGTGAGTGGCACTGGGGCCGTGGGTCCAAGTTCCCAGTGAGCCCGCTGAGCTCCCTGGGTCCCCACTAGACTCTGCATCCACTGCGGTGTCATCGATAGTCACCCAGAAACATGGGTAGAAATTTGCTTCCAGAGAAAACAGTCAGAAACAGGGTTTCATCTTCTTTCCCGTTACAGACTGAATGAAACTCTGCTTCAGTTTACATACAATGCATTTTTATTTGGTTCTCTACCTTAAGAAAAAATCATTTTTAGATAGCAAAATTTTAACATTCTAGGTAATCATGCATTTTCAAAGGTCAGGCATATGTTGTTGTTGTTTTTTGCATAGATATTTAAATAAAGAACTGTAGTTATATAGGAGCTAATTTCTGAAGATATAGTTGTACATCCCATAGGAGATTTGAGACAATGGAAGAAGCCACCCATTTGAGAATTGATGAGACAAGGGATCTGAGTTGCAGACAGTGATTCAGCTGGAATGTGTTGTTTGTCCTTAATATAGAACATGTGCAGCTCGTGACACTGTTGAACAGTATCACCGTCGTCAAAGGTGAGGACCCCAAAATAGTGTTAACCACCAAACATAACATGTAGAGTCCTGATCAGTCAAACCACAGGTATGGCTTAGAATTCAAAACTAAATTTTAAAAGCAGCAGTATCTTTCACTGGGTGAGGAAAAGCATTAATAAGTAAGGACAGTGTTTGTGCGGAAGAAATCCTGCAGTTTAGTGTATATCCACACATATCCATATCACTAATTCCAGCCAGAACCCATTTTTTCATGTATTAAATTAATAATGTAGAACACAAAGCATGTCCTACCCCCAAAAAAACCTCCCTCTTTCAGCATCTCCTTTATCTGTAGGTAGGTGTGTACATGATGCTGGGGTCGGGGGGGAGGGGCAGCTGTGCCAAAGAGAAGGGGACCTTCCCAGGGGCTGACAATCCACGGGCATCACTGGCCCCTGGATAGAGCTGGGGCTCCCGGCCACAGGGTGAAATTGGCCCACGGAGACCATTTCTCCAATTATCAGGGAAAGATCTGTCCAAAGGCATTTAAAAATGAAACCTGACCTGCACTTCAACTCTATAGCAGTGGTCTGCCTGCTCAAAAACAATGGATGACCTTTAAATCTTAAATTATAAAAGAGTTTGTTGAAAGTATAACGTATTTAGCTTTTATCTAATAATGCAGACAAATGCAATCATTTCCTTGCCAAAACCAGAGAAAAAATAGTAAAAAAGTCCCATTTTCGTTACTTATAAATAAAACTACCAGCCGCAATAAATGAGAAGTTTTTTCATAACTCTATTGGAAACTTGGATTTGGCTTTTAATAGATATAAAAATAATAGTCCTATCTAAAGTTTTACAGATATAAAAGTGATCCTGAGTTTTAAAATTCTCTTCCTCTCTCTTCTCCCTATCCTTTGTGCATAGAAAAATTCTAATATTTCTACTATCCTTAGTGCCTATTTAATTTACTCCCTATGCATTTTATTCTATGTTTGCCATAGGATAGCCAGGCACAAACATGATGTAATAAGAAAAAAGCAGCAGATGCAGGGAGGCTGAGAAAGAATCGAGGATAACTTTAGAAAGTTGTATAGGACTAAAGAAAATTCTCATCCCCAAATTGACTTATTCACCTCATATGTGTTTAGTAAACATGAGTTTTGATTGGTATTATGAGGTTTATAAACAATTTCAAAACTGGCTTGAAAGCCAAGTCAAATCTTTGATTATTCCTTTTTTTTTCTGTTTTGCTCAATTATTACTTGAATTTCAAATACACACACACACACATACATACATATATATGGCATTGTGTAGAGGTAAAACCATAGGAGTTATGGTTTTAGAGGTTGATGCACAGAAATGAATGGACTACTTTAATTTGGCAACACTGTCAAGTTCAGCTTCCAGCCCTTGGCACTGACTCCTTGGCCCCGCAGTGGAGCATGAGGTCCCAACGAGGAGCAGTGCAGCCTCAGAAGATGGGTCTGCCACTCACTGGGTCTGTGACCTTAGGCGAAGGTATCACCTCCTCTGACCCTGTTTCTTCGTCTACAAAATGGGGCTTGAACGGGCCTTCTTCAGGGGATCAGTGTCAGAATTAAATGGGACAGTGAGAAAAAAATGTAGAGAGATTTTTTTCTAAATTAAAAGCAACGCGTCCAAACCATGAACTTCCGTTGGATCCTAATTCAGAGAGGGAAAGGGGGTTATAAAAGACATTTGTTGGTCCATCCTAAAAATTTTAGTATGAACTGAATTTTAGATGATATTAAGGAATAAGGCTTAACTACTTTTCTTAGCTGTGATAAAGATATTGGGGTTACAAAAATAATATTCTTATTGCCTGTATGTGCTTGTAGAAGTATTTACACGTAAAGTATCATGACACAGGCAAGTTAGTATCAAATGATGGAAGGAAAGGGGGACGCGTGAATATAGGCAGAGAGAGAGATGGGGCCGAGAGGGTCAAGTGGCATAATGTTAACTCTTGGATCTGGGTGGAGTACATGGTATTCGGTTTACCATTTGTTTAACTCTCACGTATTTGAAGATTTTCTAAATAAAAAGTGGAGTGCGACAAAAAGAACCGAAAGACATAGTGTCATTAGAAAGTATGGCCCCTGTTGGATGCAGCCAGTGCTAGTGGCCATTCTGATGACCAGTTTGGGACAACTGCCTTCTAGTCACACCGGCAGGTAAGCAGGGAGCACTTACTGAAAAGGAAAAAAATGGACATGAAGTGAACCTAACAGTGGAAATCCTCTGAAAATGATGTCTCGGAGTCCATCCGGGTCACAAGCCAGGAGGACACCAGGCACTTGAAGCCCAGGGATTAAGGACACTGACCACCTGGGGTCAAATCCGATGAGCGCAGGACGGTCACCCTGGATGAGCTAGTTAATTCCATGCCTCTGTCTTCCAACTGAACAAGGTGACATAAAAATACCCTTGTCCCTATCACATAAAATCATCGTGGAGATTAAATAAAACAATGTGCTGTACGGGTGCCTTGCACATAGCACATACCCAAATATTAGCCAGTGTTATAATGATGTAGATAACAACCTCCTGGTTCTGTGAACCGTGATGTGAGAGGTCCTGCCGACATTTATTCAGCACTACTCCTTCACCCAGTAAACCACATCTAAGATGTTACACCGTAAACTTTCTTTAATTCTGTTTTTATTCTTTAAGATAATTCATATGATAGCATTTGTGCATTCATTTATCTCATTAAAAAATATGCCACTAATGTTGTTAAAATGCAAACAGTCACAGATCCTCTGTGGACATGCCAGAGACAGACCAGTAATAACAGCATGCCTTGTTTGCAGAGGGCCTCGTGGCTCCCACAGGGACGCTTACCCACAGCTCTCGCTCGGTTCTCACGGGCGTCCCCGAAGTCGGCCTGCGCAGCCTTAGCCCCCGTTTACAGGTAAAGAGCACAACGGCCACTGTGAAACCTACTCACAGTCGTACACGAATGACAGGGACTTACACCTCAGAGAGACACATCCACTCTGGTCGTTTGCCCCCATCCCTGCTCTGGGCTCCCATTTCCTCACTTGAGTAGGGCTGCCTGGGTTTCACGTCATTGCTTTTCCTGAGACTCAACACCCTGTCTCCTCTGACTGACCATCCCACTCTGGACCGGATAGCACCTCACAGTTGTTCGCTCAGAACCCAAACTATAACGTCAGACAGGAGGAGAGCAATAGTTCTGGCCACCCATTATCAATCAGACGAGAGCAAGATGCAAAGGCCCAGAGAGGCTCCCAACATCGGAATTTGTCAAGTAAACGGACAATGTGAGTTTTCTTGACTGAAGCACATCAAAAGAAATCCCACTTCTGGTCCTTCCTGACTGTGGAAGAGCTACTTATCCTCTCTCAGCTTTAGCTTCCTCACCGTACAGTATTACCATCATCCCAGTCGCCAAGGCTAACCAGGAATGAAGAAAATACATGGGGAAGTCCCGAACAGCACCCAGTTCTTACTAAGACTTTGGTGAATATTTATTGAATCGAACTAAACCATATGGGTAAAAAAATGTGTACATTTTAAATGTGGTATACAACAGAGAGCAGACAATATATAACTCAATATTATCAATTAAGTATCTTGATGTTAAACACACAACTGCTTACATACTACAGTTTTGCTAAAGAGCCATGTAAAATCATTCTACTAGAATTATACCCTAACTTGCAGCTGAAGAAGCCTCACAAAAATATCCAAAGGATCAGTACCTTGGGCAGTTGGCTGGAATATGTGTGCTAATTTAGCAGAAAAACTGAACTTCTAAATTTTATAGAGCAATCAGTGCGTGGATGATTATGTACGTTATGAGGGCCTATCAGGAAGAGGAAAAGGAAGCAGGTCATGTCTCAAGAAGAATATTTGAGAAGCCAAAGAGAGGCGGGTGTGAGTTTGAGGGTGGGCAGTGACCAACCCGCCCAGGAGTGCAAAGCTCTAAACCAGACGGCATAACCCAGACCTTCAAACCTCAACACTCGCAGGCATCCTGGGGCTGACGCTCAGGAGCTCTCTCCAAAGTGGACTGTTGTTCTAAGTCCTGGATAGTTGTTCTTTCCAAGAAAATGCAAGAACCTCCTAAACCCGTATCTTCTTTATGACATAAATTGTGAGTGGTGCACTTACCAGTTGATTCTGATAGGCAGTCACTGCCGTAAACACGGTCTCGGGGAAGATGAACGTTCGGAACTCTTCCGACTTCAGGTTGAGCAGCGAGGCCGTGTGGTCCTTCTTCTTAATGATGTGCACCCGCGGCTGGTACTTGTGCATTGAGTTCAAAATGATCTACAACAAAGAAATGGGGAAAACTGAATTTTAGGGATTGATATTGCTCAACAGGCCAAACTACAACCAGGAGAGAAAGAACCATAAAGTCTGCAGTTTCAGATTCAGCTTTAGGAGCAGGATTTACCCTGGGCCATTCGTAAAGCAAGTCACTCCCACAAGATACCGCAGTCATTCTTGTAAATCACATTTTACCGAAACAACTGCAGATGATACAGGGTGTTTCAAGTATCTTTTCTAAAATGATGCAGGGAAGGTCATCTGGAGAGTAAGTTTATTTATTTTTAAGTCAAGTCTTTAATAACATTGTTTGTTAGTCTGGTTAGACCAAAGGATGTATGTCTACATTTTCTAAAGTAAGAAATTATATGTGCTAGAAGGACAGATTGCTATTTGGGGGGCGGGGGGGCAGAGGGATGGATTGAACAATGTAGAAAGGTGGTGCGGTATTGAACTGACCTAGGTTAGAATACTGAATCTGCTACTGTCTAGCTCTTTAATCGTGGAGTGGGTGTGCTCACCTCCCTCCAACCTCATCTTCTTAAAGGCAAAACCAGTATTAACTTCCTAAGGTGCAGTGAGGATTAAATGATGGAACCCTTACAAATCATATAGCAAACAGGAAGTCCTCAATAAATGCAAACTCTATTATTATTGTCGTTGTGGCTGATTCCTGACTTCCGGTTATAAACGAAACATGAATGATAGTGATCGCCACCTTCCATTCCATAGCTCATAAAAGCTGCCCAGTACTTGGAAATCATAGCCTACCCTAGTAAGTAAGGCTGTATTTTTTTCATGGAGCTTTTAAATAAAATATATTAATTTGCCACTCTGAAATCTGAACAACAGAATTCACTTTGGGATATGAAATGTCTTTCATATCTCCCCCCACCTCTATTCCTGCCCTGTCACCCAGACAGCTACCGAAATCTCCAGAATCGGGTGTGCCTTTCCTGGCCCACCAGGCCTTGCACTGTATACCGTTTGTCCCGAGGGCCTAGCACAGAGCCTGGCTCTCAAGGGAGACGTTTCAGAAATACTGTGGCAGGACCACATTCAAACGCACGCAGCGCGGTTGCAGCTAATGGCTCCTGTGTCTTCTTAGCTAACGTGGGCATGGCAGATGAGTGTTCCCACTGGCTGACTTTAGTCACCGCGGGGTAACTGATACAGAATCAGTCTCTCTGTGCTGCGGTGTAAGCCAACATCACGTTCCAGGGTATTAGCTGGTACTGAATTTTGTACATGCCCCCTTTTTATGATCCTAAACCTGAGTAGGAATAACGGAAACAGATGAGAGCTTTGAACAACTTGAAATAAACTTTAGAAAGAAAAGGTCATCTCTTTGTATGGTACATGTATTCTAAGGAGTTTAGGATATCTGTGCTCAGTCATAAACCTGGAATCAACCTGAAGTGACAAAACACTGATAAAAGAAAATACCTGAGCATTCATTATGTGCTCTATCAAGAGGACAGAATTTTTAAATCATGCATGCGCACACACACGCAATGGGCAAAACCTAACCTTTAAATAAGGTCCTGGCTCCCCTGCGTCCACCACCCCAGGCCAGTCCCTTTGGGAAAGGATAACAGATAGACTCCGACCCCAGACTGAGCCTCAGCCTCCCGGGCTCCTTGACTCTCTGCTCACTAATACAAATGTGGACTCTGCTTCATCTTACTTCCAAACGAATTCCTGGGAGTAAGAATTTTTCCTGCTAGAAAACTAAAAATGCATCAGTAAGAGGGGCTTCTTCAGGACTAATTCAGAGAATGTGGCTAACCTACCCAGGACCTAAAATTCTCCCCTTATAGTTTTTAGAAAACACTGTGGCTCGTGACAAAGGGTTATAGTAAATGATAAAATTTTAAAGTCAAAATGGATATTAACAACAACCTAGAACTAAACAATTTGTCAAAATCTAATCTCATAATCAGATGAGAAGCCAGAGTTTCTGACATACAGCTGAGTGCTCTGTTCACCCATGAAGCCGATGCTCAAAGGAAGACATGTCAAATTCTGCACAGCTGATCTCAGAATGAACTTTCAAGTCTTCCTGGAAAGACCCAGTGCTTCAAAAAGTTCCACATATGGAATATACTAGAACGATTAAAAGACCTCATTTTCCCTGCAAAGATTTCAGGAGAGCCCAAGAAATTTTAACACGGATGACATTAAGAATGATCACTGGCCTACAGGAAATGTGTCTCAGATACTTGGTAAATTTTAACCTGGAAAAATAAAACGTCAATGGAAACATCTTTGAAGAGAAAAAGAAAAGGACAATTATGCCAACATCCTTAGGCCAATTATCTTTTCCAACATGTGAATTAACAGAAACCTGTTCACCTACTCCCAGCACCTGAAAAGCACCATCAGCAGAGTTGTGAGTTAACCTGGTTACCACCACTCGGCCGAGGTAAATGAGGTTTCCTGTGGGCAAACGGATGTTGGCCAGGCCGGAAGTGATTTATTTAGTTTCAGGTTCAAGCCAACCATTTGAAACCATGTCTAGAACCTCAGTTTATTTAATCTACTTATAATCATCTTTATGAATGTTTCCAAAACATTTCTGAAAAATAGTTTGAAATTCTTTTAAATGGCACAAATTCAACAGAAACGAAACCCTGACGTAACAAGAGCCTACATAGAGAGGATAAGAGAGGGAATAATTATATCAGAATGTCTAAGCCCCAAAAAGCAACTATGAAAATACCAATGTGCTTTTTGTCAATTAAGGCAAAAAAAAAAAAAAAAATCAGCATTCTCATCAAAAAGAAGTATACAAGTCTGTCTAAAGTTTTCTTAGGTTTACTTAAAGCAGAAATTTTATGTAAATCTTTATTTAAGAGCACAGAGAGTTCCTTAAGAAGCAATCTTATTAAATGCGCAAAGGCCTGCGTCAGTGGCTACTTGTTCTGTTAACTATTGATAAGAGCTCAGAATTTCCATTTCTCCTTTTCTACATTTTGATGAACTCAGAATCATCAAATTGTCTTGTTTAATTGCAAGACTCCTCTGTGCTTTATTATTCATAAGACTTTCTACAAAGGGAGTATATAATGAGTAAAAAGCACTTTCCCAAACTTATTTAGACGTCATTTCAAATGGTTGGCTTGAACATGAACCCAAATAAATTGCTTCAGGCCCAGTCAACATCCGTTTGCCCACAGACCTCGTTCACCACAACCAAGGTGGTGTAACCAGGTTGCCTTGTGACTCTGCTCACGGTGCTGTTCAGATGCTGAAAGTAGGTGACCAGGCTTCAAAGTTACTTGGACATAAAACCCTTTTGTTCTTTTGCATCTCCTGTGAATGTGTTCCACAGCACACACCTTCGGCAACCCCCAAGGGGGGATCTCAGCCCCAATCCTTTTATGCTGTATTGTCTGATAGACCACTGACAACCCGGATGTTTAACGCAAGACCAGGCTGTAGTAGCTTCCATAACGCACGTTCTCTTTGTTGAATTAGTGCAGGTACAAAACAGTTGCTAAAGCCTTAGGACATCTGTGGTTCTGAAGGGCCCTGACCCTCTCACATAGAAATGGCCTCTTGACACCCTGGACACAGGAAGGTTCTTCTAGAATGACTGCGCGCTAGAGGGTGGGTGGGGCAGAGGGAGAGGAGCTGGAGACCGAGAGGAAGGCAGTCCTGGGTGAGCTCTCCGCTCCTGCCCACGCCCGGTTCGCGGCGGGACTTACGTGGCCGTGCTGATCCAGTTCGTTGTTGGTGAGTTTCACCTTTTCAAAAGACACCATCTGTTTGAGTAGCTGCTCACCAGTAAAAGGCGAGTCTGGGTGCACGTACAGCCTAAGAAAATTATGAGATTTTATTGAGGCACTTAAAAAAATCTGTTCTCTGAGGGTTATAAAATATTTAAAATATTCTGATTCAAAAGGAACACAAAGCCCCCATATAAGTGGTGAATTTTATTACCTCCATATAATTTAAAATTTAGTCATAGAGCCAGACCAGAATAACTCTTAAACTTCTGAAAGTTTCTTTGTGTGTCAATGATCTAAAAGGGGTAAAAATAAATTTTCTAAAAGAGGTAAAACTTAATACATTTTCTATTATCTGCTGAGCCAACCATTTTTAAAGATGGTTTTTTTCCTGTCTAATAGGCTACTGGGCCACTTCTGTAACATATAAAATCTTATTGGTATAGGTATTCTCAAAAGAAAGAGTCAGTTATACTAATTGCATAATAAGTTCCTAGGTTAAGCATCACTAAAAAGCAAGGAAGGCATCAAGGATTTTTAAAAGCAAACAATTCTAGAGGATCCAGTCACTTAAAATTGAAGGTGATTTTGAAGATTATGTTCTTCATAAATACAAGACAGAGTAACTTTAATACATTGAACTGGGAACTTTTAATTGTCCACACATCATAATTGGTTGCTCCTCACAGTACCTTAAACTCTGTTACCTTTCTCATTATCTTGTTAAATCATGAGAATGAAAACAAGCTAAGTAAGCTTCAATTATTCAATGTATTTATCTGTAAACAGCCTAAGTGAAAAAATGTATCAAGCATGTAACATCTCTTGATCAGCTGCTACGTGTAAAACCATATTTTCCAGTTAAACGCAGGCCATTTGTTCTGCCTGTGTGTATCCCACTAAATCCAGCTCTTTGTTATTCCCAATCCTGGTATCCACTTGACATAAGCTTTTCTGAAGTTGGGGGAGATCACAGAAGCAATGGGAGGGGAAGGAAATGGGCTCGATTCAATAGGTAACCGGTTATTTATATCTCGATTTTGTATAGGATCCTTATAACCATAATTAAACATAAATATTACAGTTGGGGCAAAGGCGAGAAAAAAGCCACAAAACCTTTCCTTGCAATGTTCATGCGAAGCGCCAGAAACCTGGGCTGCGGTCTGTGACACGGAGGATGAAGAACAGAAGCACTGGGCGCGCAGGCTCCAACAAAGGCCACCGGAGGCAAAGCGAAGCAAAGGCTGCCAGCAGTACAGACTCCCACTAAACCCACGTAAGAACCAGACGGGCTCTCGGAGTCTGTGTGCCTGCCTATTTGCTTGATTTTTTTTTTTTTTTTTTTTTTTTTTTTAGTACAAGTGCTCAAAATTGCATTTCAGCTGACGTACTCTTTGATGACACAACAATAATGGCTTTTCAAGTGTCACCCCTCCAAGGTTCTAGCTTTATAGGTACAGTTGTTTCACTGATCAGCACCATGTCCTACCCTCCCTGTCAAAAAAGGTTTGAGAATATTAAACATCCCAGAAGCTGCTGAAATGTTCTTTCTCTATGTATCCATTCACCAGATGTAATCACATCAATATAGATTAACTTACTTAAATATCAATTACTTTAAGGAAAAGGAAATGTCCTATGTGAAAAAAGGGCATTATTTTAGATCCTGTATAATTACGATCATTATTACAATCAAATGGTATTGTCAAGCATGTTTGCTTCTGATTAGGAGGAATTGACTGACGAAGGTGAGTTTGAAACAAAATGTGTCAAAGAACTAGAACCCCAAGGAATCTGCAACATCAATACAAAAACAATCACCCTACCAAGTCCCCTACCTTTTCCTGCACAGAACTAGAAAATACATAGTGCTATTTCTTTTTTAATAATAATAAAAAATAGTTGCTTAAATTATCCAGAACATTTCTATCCTATAACACATAAAGATTTTTTATCTAATATCAGTATACATAAGCTGAACTAAGATGAATGAAAAAGCATACAGGAAGCCCCTCCCCTCTCATGTCCCTGGGACTTAACATTCCAGCAATAGCTTACACATGCTTCAGTTAAGATAGTGTATTGGTACGTGCTTGCTTTCTGCAACCAGAAGAGATTAGTAACATAAACAAAGCATGTCATATTTCCAAAGGCCTGCTGGCCTGCACCAGTTCCCCATACCTTCAGATAGGAAGAAAATGCATGCTAAGTAAGATTGATTAACTTCTTAGAGGAAATACTTTAAAGGGGGAAAAAAAGAGGGTTTGTTTGTGAAAACAGTAAGGAATCTGTTAAAATTCCCGCTCCTTTAAAAGATGAAGCAGTTAGTTAGTAGTAAATTTTAGAAAACACTAATTATATTCATTTTAATATCAATTGGAAACTGGTGACTCTTGCTCAATTAAAATATGAGTAACATTTTTTTTTGTCTTTGCCACTTAATATGTGTTTAATGCACTGGTTTGGAAGGGTTGGGATGATGTCCTTCTTGGTCTCCTGTGGGAAGGGAGACCTCTGAGCGCGTCTGCCGTCTCTTGCCCAGCGGCTCTAGCGCACTGTGAGCCCCATAACGGGATTGGCTGCTAAAGGAACATAATACTCCGTCTGAACTGTATGTGTAAATTGTCTGTGTTGATTCTGTGCCTTGACTAAGACTCCAGACCACCTACCTACAAACAACCCGCTGTAACGTCAAAGTTCCTAAAACTTTACATTGAAATCAATTTTTAGCTCTGAGATGACCTTTCAGTCAATTACAAAACTTTGTCATAAAACAACTTAAAAGCGATGAGACTTGATTTTAGAACCCTAAATGTCAAACAGTCAGCTAACATTCTTTGTATTAAAGTATGCAGTTAGAGTCCTGTTACTACAGCTGTTACTGTTCACATAAACAGATACATGCTCTTCCCCTCCCCCCCATGCACAACTGGACAAAGCAGCAATAATAAAGGTTTGCACGTGTGACTTTTAAACAGGGTTCTACTGGGAAAACATTATTACCAATGAATAGCACAAAAGTAAACATATATGATCGATAATATACTAATTGAGTAATGTTTCATGTAAAAAAAAGTCAACCTGGTGTTGAATACATTCATCCACTTAAACTTTAAACTTACAATCTCTGAGCCCTTTCTGGCCAAACAAACAAACAAACCAAACCAAACAAAAGAAAACCCAAAATGATATTTATTATGGGCAGCTCTAACCACATTGTAAACAAATATTAACTATAAGCACGCACTGTACTAAAATGCACTTTTTAAGAAGGGCTTTAGGGCAACCCCTCCCTCAGGAGGTTTGTCCAGTCTGGTGTTAAGCGGACAGCTAGGCGTGTGAGTGCCACGTGAAAGGGGTTCCCATCCCCAACCAACATTCTCACTAACTCCAAGTTAAGGAAAACTTTGCAATGAATTGAGAGGAGCGATAAAATTAAAGACAGCGCCCTGTCCAGGCACCACAAACCCTGCCTTTCTCAGAGACTAGCCCGTGGTTTGTATGGTCCGCGGTGGGGTGTCTGGGCCTGGAATCCCACCAGAGCCGGGGGCTTTCAAAACAGACTCGAGGAAAACTCCACCCGGCCGGGCGGGAGCCTTTCTCCTAGCGGGGTCCACGCGCTTTTCGGGCAGACAGAAACCCGGAGGCACAAACCTGGCGGGCAGCGGTGGGTCCGCCTTCCCAGCCACCAGCCAGGAGGACCGGTGGTAGGCGTAGCGGTACCTCTTGTTGTCCACTGGGACGATGTCCATCAGGACTATGTACTTGGCCTCAGGGTCCACGCCGGAGAATGACACCCGGATGGTGGGGAACATCCTCCTGCCACAGGAAGACAAGGAAACCGGCCTGAGCTCCCACTGCCGGACGCGCTGCGCGCATGAGAGGGAAGCAAAGGGTTGGACTCCCTCCCTCCGTGGCCCTGTCCGTTTCTTATAAAGCCACAGAGCCGGGAATTTAGAGATCAATGGTCTAGATAATTTTAAGTGTCACCTTTACAAGAGTCCTCATGGCTGGAGGCAAGGTGTGCTTGTGTTTCAATGAGAATACCTGCAGGTCTGTGATTGCGGAGAAGTCAGTGCCGTTATTAGCAAGCCCCTGAGCTCCCCGCAGGGTCTCGGAGCGCCCGGCCCTGCCACTTCTGGCGTTGCTGGGAGGAAACTCGCTCCTTCCCCAGAAAGGGGGAGCGGGGGACGGAGGCCGGTTCTGGGGTGGGGTTCGCGGGGCTCCGGAGGGATTTCCCAGAGTCCTGAGAGCGCGAGCGACCGGGCGCCCGGGGCCACCGACCTCCGGAGCCTTTGCCCCGGGCCCTGGGAGCGCCGGCCCCCTGGCTTCCTGCGCGCCCTGAGCCCGCCCCGCTGCGGCGCCAGGGGGTTGCGGGGCTAGCGCCCCCTCCTACCTAAAGTGTGGTCGCCTGGAAGTTCATTCTGCCACCCAGGTTTTACTTGTAGTTTTCATGGGAGCTGGAGGCTTCTGCAGATCGAGGCCTATAGAAAGGAAGCTACCTGCCTCCCTCGGAGCAGCCAGCCTCCGCCCTGCGCCCCGGGTTCCAGCCCCTCCTACCCTCCGGGTGCCGATCCTGCACCCCCAAACCCGCCCGGGCTGCAGGGGACAGAGAGCCCCGGTCCCTGTGCCTTTCTCATCAAGACCGAGGTGTGTTTTCCCACGGCCAGATCTTGAGAAATCTAAAACCTGGAAATCTTTCCGAGCAGCGATTTCCAAAGCAAATGGGTGGAAATCAGCCCTCCTGGAGCGAAGCTGCCTCGGGCCTCAGGGCCAGCGAGGGTGCGCCCAGTCCCCAGACCGTCCCAGCCAAACCGAGCGCAGTCCCAGCCCCCACCCCTCACGCTCCGGGCCGCTACCTGCCAGACTTGGTGATGATCATCTCCGTGCCCAGCTCGTGGAATTTGTCCCAGAGCTCTTTGGTCTCCAGGCTGCAAGCGATTTTGGCCATTTCCTCGCTGGGGATGATGGGGGTGGTGGGGATCAGCGGCTCGGTACACAGCGAGGAGGACGGGGGGCTGCTGCCGCCCCCGCTGCCTCCAAACTCCCCGTGAGCCTCCAGGCTGGTCAGCTCGCCTAGGGGCTGGGCGCAGGGTGACTTCTCCACAAATTGCTCTGCAAGAGAAAGGACAGTGACAGCCAGCGCCGTCCAGCAAAGACGCAAGAAGAACACCAGGGCGAAAACGGGGACCTGGTTTGACCTTGGGAAAGTGACGCTCAGCAACTCCGGGAAGGCGGCTGAGAAGGCATCACGTTCTCAATCAGGCGTGCGATTCCCACGGAGTGACACACCCACCGCTTGCTGGCTGAAGCGAGCGAGTGAGCTCCGGAGCCGGGGTGTGTTGCCACTGTTTCTGAAACCCACACGGGAGAATAAGCATGTGCGGACTGGAGAGGGAGCGATCGTGAGGGACAGAAAGCAAGTATTCCTGTGTTTACCCCTCTCGAGGTCTGGACTTCCCAGCCGGCGGGATCTGGTGCCAGTCCTGCCTCTCTGACAACCAGGGGAGTGGGGAGATGAGCCCCTTTCTCCCGTGGAGAGGGGCTCTCCTTCCCTCGTGGAGCCCCGTCTCCATAGAAAAATGAACCATGGGTGACAAGTAGAGAGGCAGCTAAAAAAATTTAAGTCGCTTCCTATCTCTGCCTAGCTCTCAAGGTCCTAGGCTTTAAGAGGTTAGAGTAGGGCATTTGTACAATGTACCTCCTAGCCTGACAGGTTATGAAAGACTAGCATTTGGCTTGTTCAGTCACAGGAGTGTGCGCTCAGGGCCCTTTCGACACAAAAAGGTCCTAGAAGTAAGGAAAACAATCAGAAAATCAGGCTTGCAGGCATGTTGAAGGAGGAAGGCGGCTTTGCCTCCACCCGCAGGCAGGAATACCACTGCCTCTGACCCAAACACTACCCTCCACAGCTGATAAGGGCCTGGGACCGCCCCAGTCACTTTGATGGAATACAGGGGGACTTTTGTAATTACCCTAATTATCTTGCATCCCTTAAAAAAGAAACTACTTGAATCTGCAATGTGAAACTGACCTCCAAACAACTCTATTCTAAGCACCCCAAGGAACTGAAACAAGTTTTAGGTGTGTGTGTGTGTATATATTTATATATTGTATGTTAGATGAGAAAATGTTTTATTTTCTGCATTTCTCCTTGACTTAGGGCAGGAAATAGAGGATTTTTACTTTTTCTATTTTTACAATAACAATCCAACTGCTGGAAATATTTTAAATGAAGAATTTTCCATTTAATTATCTTATCCTTATATTTTCAAATTCAAAGCAAGAGACCCATGCCACGGCACAATCTTATTCCCTCCTAACATTTTCAGAAGCACATTCACATAATGCTTAATAGGGAATTCTTAACAAGTAGCCTTGGAAATTTCATTTACTGACCATCAAAAAATGCAAACTCCCGAAACCCCAAACTAGTGGAAGAAGAAAAGGATCCAGAAATGCTCTAACACAATGTTGAGTGTCAGGTATACCTCAAAAAAAAATTTTTTTTTAAATGCTTTCGTGGTCTGAGGCTGTTCTTCTAAATAGACTTAAAGTGTTTACGTGGGCAATCAGGGGCCGCCCCACCTTCGCTTCTGACTCTCATTGGGGTTTCATGCCACAGTCTCTCTCAGAACCTTGAGGCGTTTCTCCAGCATTCTTGGCTTGTATTCACTAATTGTGCTCCGCTGGCCTGACCCCTTAAAAGGGACAAGAAAGCCTTCTGGTTCCTCTAGAGGGAGGCTTATTTACAGGCTGTATGCGTGGTAAGGAAGGGGGCCGTCGTTCTGGGAGCTGGGAATGGGTCTACCGTTGAGAATTTAGATAGGTGCTCCCCCCGCCCCAAAACAAACAGCCAAGGAAGCAACACTGCAATGGCAGCGTGCTGGAGCTGGCCTGTGTCCGCCGGCTGCCTGGGCGGCCGTCAGGAATCCGACCCAAGGCTGGCCTTCCCTGCTAGCTACCAAACCAAGATGGGGACACTGGTAAAACATTCGGAAGCCCCCCCCCCAAACAGGAGCAGATGATGTAGTGAAGTCCCCCAGACAGAACTTTGAAATAGTGGCTAATTGTTTTTTTCTGAACAGTTGAGGTTTGATTGGTTGGTCCCATTTCTATGGCTGGTTTAGCTCTAGACTGGAGGGTGGGTGGGGAAACCAGAGAAAGGGAGCAAAAGTCCTGAAGGGGAGACTCTCTGACATTGTGTTTTCTAGAGACCTCCGGTTTCTCTTTCCGGGGTTCTGAGCTGCTATGGGGATTTTAATTCTCTTTTCTCTCTGCCCAGACCCCTTATTTTTCATCTCTAGGGCTTCATCTCTCATATTATTATTGTTGTTTTGAACGTGCGGTGTTAAATTATTGGGAAGGACAGGGAGAAGGAAGGAAAAAATTGGGGAGAGGTCAAAAGAAATAGCACCCTGTTTGCTATTTGACGTTTTTCACTGTTTTAGGGCTACCAGCTGATCAGGATATGAAAAAATTATTTCCTGGGGCCCCAAGAAGTGATGATGAGAACACCTCTTTCTCAGTTGTACAGGGACGCTGAAACACATTTCCGGCAGTTTCTTTCCCACATAATTCATTTGTGCTAAGGGGAACCTAATCCCTTTCCTCCCTTTACTCTGAGCCTAGAGTCTTCTATAAATGGTAAAGGTTGTTAAATAAACAGTATAGCTAAAAGTTGAGGAATTTGGGAAGTGGTTACTGGCTAATGTTTTTGCCAACCTCTCCTGAAAATGACGGCAGTTACACAATGATGTCTTATTGATAAGTCTGGCACTTCAGTGAAGAAAATGGTTCCTGCGGGGAGAACTGGCTTATTCTACAGCCCTTGACAGTAGATTTAAAGAGCTGGCCCTGTTTAGTCTATCAAATCGGGGAAAACAAAATTAAACTAGTTTCTTGTTATGTCACTTAGAGTCTTCTTGGTTTCAACTGCACCAGCAGGTATTATATGCACCGTAAATCCTGTCGAGTCTTAGGAAAGGTTTTATTGTTATTCATCCTTTAAAGTTTTATCCCAACAAAGTTACTCACCCACATCCCCTGGGATTCTGGACAAGTAGAGAGGGCGCCTACCGCATTTGCGAGATGCGAAACCGGTTGTAAATAACAGACTGTGACGCCTCGCCCCCCCCCAAAAAAAATTACCAAACAAACCGTGGGCCTTAAAGGAAAAAATCTACCCTCCCCTTCGACGTAAGGTCCGTGGCCTTAAGGTCAGAAGCTGCCGCGCGCGAGCTGGGAAAAGCGGCCACACTCCCGAGCTCCCCGCAGTCAAGGGGCAGAGGGAAGCGCAGCACCCTGCCTCTGCCCCCCGCGGACATTCAAGCAGCCCGACTTACCCAGCGGTTTGATGGTGTTCTCCGCGGCCTCCTTCTCCTTGGAGCCGCCGCTTGACATGAGCGCGGCGATGGAGAAGGCGTTGGCCCGGGAGGAGAGCTGGGGCTTAGGCGACGCAGTAAACTCCATGGCCCCCAGTACGCTGTCCTGGCCAGGGACCGGGCCTACCGAAGTGCCGTCCAGCTTCCCCAAGGGAGACAAAACCGAAACACAGCGCAAAGTTTCCGAGTGCAATCACAGCGCAGCCGGGGACTCCAGATGAGTCAGCCCCAGCCTCCCAAGAGCTCCACACTGGCCTCTCCACTCCCCCACCGCAAAGCCCTGGAGCCGAAGAGACTTCGAACTAGCCGGAGAGGACCGGAGAAGACCAACTGCGGGCTTAACCGGGTGCGCAAGCACCGGGGCGCGCCGCAAGACCACAGGCTGCGCCACTGGAAGCTGGTGACGAGCATCAGCTGCGCAAAGCCCAGGGGTCCAGCAGCACCCCCTCTGCGTCCTTCCTCCCTTTCCCGGGCTGGGGACAGCCGGAGTGGCCCAAGCTGCAGGGAGATGGGGACCGGCGGAGCGCCACTGAGAGGGCGCGGACCGACAGCAAGGAGGTCGATCGCAGCGCGGCGCAGCAAGGCACGGCGGACACTGCGCCCGGGTGCTCGCAGCCCTGCGCCTTAATTTGCTGGCGGCACCGATCCCCGCGGCCAGCAGCCAGTCAGCGTTGTCCCACGTCACCGCTTCCTGATTCCGCCGCCGGGGGCGGGGCCTTGGGGCTGGGCGGGGAGGGTGTGCCCGGGGCGCAGCGCCCTCTTGGCCTCTTGCTGCAGAAGGCTGCAAACCTGGCACCCGCTGGGGAAAAGGGGTGCTACCACCAGGCTGGCGGAGCCGCCACGAACTTCTCCCTCCTGGTCTTGCAGTCCCGGGGCGGGAGGGAGGCGCGCACTGTCGGGAGAAAGCATTTCTGTCGCGATCTAAAATACGGGATCCCGGGAGTGGCGCAGTGCGTGAACCTAGACCGGAGGAAGACTCGAGGAGCTTTTGCATCATCCAATATTTTTCTTACCGAGGCTCAAAGTTCCAAAAGAAAGTTGGGAAGTGCCAAGTATAGAGGGAAGCGGCGCAGCAGCGCTGGTGCCCACGGGCCAGATCCCAGTCTCGGGGTATCCCCCAGGGCTGGGTCCCCATGCTCCACTACTCGCCTGCCTGACAGTGGCGCTGAGAGGCGCAGCCCTGCAAATGATGCGCTAAGAGGGTGCTGCGAGCGTTGGGCAAAGGACGCTGCGCTCGCAGCCACGGTTCCTGCTGCACACCGGTGTGCCTCTCCCCCGGGGCTCGTGTTCCAGAGAGGGACTCGGGAAACTGGGGCTCTGACCAAAGGGAAGGCAAGGGGCGGGGGCGGTGCGTGGAGGGAGGGGCGCGGCACCCTGCGGGGACACGCGACGCGCAGTGGGGGAGTGCGAGCCTTGCGGCGCCTGGGCTTGGCGGACACGGACCCTTCAGCCCTCGCAGACTCGGCGGCGACCGGGACTTCCCACGGCCTGGTGGGGGTCGTCCTGTCGGCCTTGTTCAGCTTGAATAACTCACATTCTCCAAATTCGCAGGGTAATCCGCTTCACTCTGAGCGGTGTAAACTCAGGCTGACACACACACTCGAGCTGTACATGTAAATATTTGCGCTCCTTCTCAGCCAGCCGCCCTGGCGATTGAGGAGCCTCTTGGTGGGTCTTGAAGAAAAAAAAGAAAGAAAAGAAAACAGCCCGTATTTCCCACCAGCCTCTTACTTTCTTCACTGCGTCTCCTCTTCCTGGCTCCTGAGTTAAACTCCTAGGGAAAAGCTAAAAGTCAAAAGTTGAGAACATTTACTAAGTAAAACGCTGTCATCTGGGAGAGTCGTGATTTCAGCCTCTCTTGTCATCGCCTATCAATAGTTGTTAACGAGGTGCTGCATGGAGGCGACTTAGGGTCGGCCTCGATGCGCAAAGTGTGTGTGTAAATGTTTGGAGAAATTCATAAAATCATAGGCTTTTGTACTGGAGGGGGGTCTATGCCACCGTGGAGTCCACCGCTACCTTCTGTTGAGAGAGAATCACCGGCTCTGGCGCGGCGGAGGGCGCGTGTCCCCCTGCAGTCCGCCCGGCCGGCTCAGGGCAGCCTGGGGCGCGGACCCTCGCCCGGGCCACCGTCCCGATCCCCGGCCCCTTGCCGCCACTCCGGGCTGCTCCTGCGAGAGCGCCAGCGGAGCTAACGCTGGCCGAGAGCAGAAGGCTTTCCCGTTACACCGCGGTAGGACGGGCGAGAGGGGCAGTGTCCATTCTTGAGTCTGTGGTCCTTCGCTGTTTTCAGACAACCCTGACCCAACCCAGAGCCCTCGGTTATTAAAACCTCCCACCTGCCCGCGGCCTACTCCCTGCTGACCCCACCTCAATACTTCAGTGACGTTTATCCTCTTGGAATGGAAGGTGCGCACCGGTTCCTCTCCTGCCTCGGATGCTTAGAGCTCGGCCAGGAAGGACGGCTCATGTCGAGAGTTTTGGTGGTGGTGGTGATCGTGGTGTTGCGTGCTTTGGGGTTTTGGGAGGAGGGCGGGAATGATGTAACAGATAGTCTAGAACCCTATGTGCTTGAACTGGGTGTCGAAGATCTTGCCTGCTGGTGTTAGTTTCAAAAACTTATAGTGGGATTATACCTCAATTAAAAAAAACCAAACTTGCCATTGCTTTTCTACACAGAGGACATGCTGCATTTTTTTCTTAATTGTCTTAATGGTTCAGACTGAAATTTGAATAATAGAATGACAGGGACATTTGTAGAAAAGTTTGCAGAGCAGGGGAAGCTGCCTCGCCCGCAGCCTGTTTCCATTTTCTTTCCTGATTGCCCAGTGGCCTTGGCCCAGCTCCAAGTCTCTAGTAGGTGGCGAACTTCTGGCTATTCATCCTATTACAGGTGAGAGGAAAGAAAAAAAAAAAAAAAAAAAAAGGCTCAGTGAGCTTGCCGGAGGTAGGCGGCAAACCAGGGAACTGAAACTGAAAAGGCCACTTGAAATAAATCCGGGCTCCTGAGGAGAGCCTTTGGGGATGCCTAACAAGCTATGCATCTTTTTGGTGTCGAAACCATGGCAGTAAAACGTATACTACAATGTAATTATCAGGGGCACAGAGTCCCTTCTCTTAGATTTATTGCCTTTGCAAATCAATATACCGGTAGTGCTATTTAAAATTTAAAAACAAAACAAAACAAACCGGTGCTTAGCAGAGAGGTGCTGTCAAAAGGTGACTGAGAGACGTCCAGAAGCGGAGAGCCCGAATTCTGAGGTCCCTTCAATGCCCTGTGTTGGGGCGGGTTAGCAGGTAAAGCCACGGAAGAGGTGGGGACAGAGTGACCCCACGAACGTTTCCCTCCAGGCCCTTCTCTCGCTGAAGGCAGACAGCCGGGTGATGCTGTCGGACACCAGAAAGAGCCTGGGACTCCAGAGGACTTTGACTCTTGACTCAGCCAGCCAGGCTCAGGGTTAATCCTGAGACTTCGTGAGGGTTCCCGAAACCTCTCAAAGTCCCGGTTTCATCATCTGCATGAAAACAGGGCCAAGAGTGTATTCCTACCTGGAAATCGGCTCTCGGGATTAATGAGGCAACGCGCCTGAATACCGAGTAACCTTAAGTTACCCCAACCTAAGGAGAACATTACCGTCGAGATTGTATTATATTTAATTTTCGAACTGCAACTGTGCGATCGCAGAGCTGCAGAGAGTTTGGGAGTGAGTGTGCGCAAAGAATTGGGGTCGCGGGGTGATAATGGACGATTATTGAAATCCTGTTGCACTTTGGAAGTTAGGAATGTAAAATTTTGGTTATACGCCTGAGTTTTATTACACAGACTTCGATTAGACAGAAAACTGGGAAATGTCTTATGCACGCCACCCTTTCAAGTTCTCATTTGCAGCGCCCAGAGCTCAAAAGTTAGTCGACCCCGCGAACTGTCCTGGAGGGGATAGGTTTCCCGCTTTTGGCCAAGGGTCCCTAGCTTAACTGTAGCTAAAGCAGAACGCTTCGCCCACAGCGGGAGGGACACGTCCCTGGCTAGTGTCGCCGAAGTCCCTGCTGACGCTGGGAGCGAGAACTGCGTTGCGGTGGTAGGACCGGGCGCCGGACCCGGAGCGTCATCCGGAGACCGAAGGCGAAAGCCGGACAGAAGGTGGGGAAGGAGACCGGCTTCTCAGCACGCGGGTAGCTACTCCCGAACTTGGTGGGATATCCCATCCCCTCTCTTCCGCTCTTTCCGGTAAACGCTTTAAAAGCAGAGAGAGGGGCCCCCGTGTCGTTGAATTTCTAAATCGGTTTGCGGCACAGGAAAGCCTCCCGCAGCAGCGAGGGGAAGGAGGCTGCGGCCGCTCGCAGGCTGCTGCGGCGGGTCCCGGCGGCGCGCAGAGAGCCGCGCGCGTCGCCGCGTCGGGCAGGGAGCGCGCGGCGCGGACTCGGATTTCACCGCGCGTGAAGAGGGTGAGTCCCAGCCCGGGTCCCAGTCCTGTCTCGGAGGAGCCGGGACCGAGGCTCAAGAGCAAATTTTAAAGGGGTTAGTTGACCCTTCAAGTGGTGCCGGAGATGCGCCGCTTCCAGCCCAGGCAGCAGGCAGTGGCTCAGGAGGGACGACCCCGTGCGGGGCCTCGCGAGGCGTCCTCGCCCGATGCCAGCTGCAAGGGTGAGGCAAAGATCACCTCCTCTAGGGCCATGGTCCGAGTTTGTCACCTGACGGTCCCGGGTAGTGTGTGTGCGCACGTTCCGCCCGGGACCACACATTCACGCCCAGCTGTCGGGCCGAGAAAAGGGAGGTCGTGTGGGCCAGGGCAGTTGCACCCATTTCCAGGGCCCTGTCCTCAGGTGGTGAAGGGAAAAATTCACTCTAGGCCGGAGCAGGGTACTGCGACGTCACGCGCGCTGGGCCTCCTCTGGATCCCACCGCCAGGCAGCCCTCGGTCGGGGGCGGGGCAGAGGTCGGGCGCGGAGCTCCAGGGCCTCCTCCCAGGATGCTCCCTCTGGGCTGTGACCCTTCCGCTCCACCCGACGCCACTGGCTTCCCGGTTCTTCCTCCAAGAGCTCGCGAAGGCAGGGACCCGTCCTCCGCGCCCAGGCCTTGTGATCCGG